CTATGGAAAAGAAAAGGCCGACGAGGTTACTGCACCTCTGGTATTTCCAGTATCCTCAGACCTTGTGTTATGTGATGTGAAATTGATATGATTTTACTTCCACCACCACGTGGTAGCATTTGTCATTACTGCTCGGTGGATCATACTTAACCCCTTTTACGTTGATGATCTCCAGCCCTTATATTATGCCAACATTGCACCCATATGGTGGACCTTTTCCCTTGCTTTGAACCCTTATAACACGTTTAGCACATGGTTCTTTTTGCCTTTTGCTATTGCCCCTTATCTTTAGAGATATGTCGTCTTGAGAATGCCCTGAATCCATTTTCTCTGTAGTCTTGACTCCATTGTATAAGCATTAGGAAGGTTCAAAATGGAGTGCTTCAAAAGTTATTATACTAATCTATGATTATGAAGCAAATATGAGAATGCAGTGCGAGGTTTTCTAATAAATGACTCTGCAAAAAGAGATGCAGCAGGTCACAATATGGCACTCTTAGCTAATCTTGAGAGTAAGGTCTGGTGTGGTTGAAGGAATAAACTTGTTTTTTGGTGATTGGCCTTTGTTTTGGGCACTAGTTCTCTGCATTTCCTTTAAAGTTGAGTATTCTTTCAGTCTCGTACAAGTGAACCATGTGATGATACAAATCTAGTTAGTGAGATGTTAGTTGTTGTTCTTGGATTACACTGTGATTGAATGAATTGACTATGCCTAAGTGAGGAAGTAAGGAACCTATGTCATGTGGGAATGAATCTTTCTTTATATGTAGTGTCGTATTAGATGTCTTTTTAAAACTCTTATCATATATTTAGCATGTTCCTAAATGATTGCCAAAAGCACGATGAGTCAGGTAGACAAAGCTGATTGCCAAAAGCATGACGAGTACAGGTTGAGACTAGTAAGATACGAATTGACATTGTAGGATGTGGAACTTGATATCTAAAGTTGAGTGATACTTGGGTACTGCCTTACCATATTGAATATATGAAATCGTAACTATTGGGTACTGCCTTACCATATTGAATATATGAAGTCGCAACTATTGGGTATTGCCGGCTTGTTTTGCCTTTCAGCTCTGGAACTAAATATATTTAATACTTTCTTGTATAGTAGTATCCCCTTCAGTGCCATACCTCTGCTTGATTATATCTTTCTGGTAACTTTTTACCCATGTATTTATCCAGGTCATGAGGTCGAATCATGGGGCAGAGTACACTTTCACAGAGCTTAACCAAGTCAAGTGGACATTTGATAGTTCTCCAAAGGTTGAGACTATGATATATGCAGAATGAAGAAAAGACTTGGTCATTGATATATTTTTCCAATCATAATAATTCTCTAGTTTCCTTCATTGCCAGATTCTTGTACCCATTGCGAATGGGACTGAAGAGATGGAGGCCGTTATCATCATCGACGTACTCCGGCGAGCAAAAGCTGAAGTGGTAGTGGCTTCTGTTGAAAGTCAACTCGAGATTCTAGCTTCAAGGAATGTCAAATTGGTTGCCGATGTTCTCCTGGATGAAGTTCTCAGCCGCCCGTTCGACCTCATTGTTTTACCAGTAAGACAGGCACCTACTGAAGCTTGCTTGTTATTCTTGTATTTAAATTGCGTAATCATAATTTGAGCAGTAGCATTGATTTTGCTACGTACGAGCAGGGTGGACTCGGTGGTGCTCAAGCCTTTGCAAACTCGGAGAAACTCGTAAACTTGCTGAGGAAACAAAGTGAATCGAACAAATTATATGGAGCAATATGCGCATCCCCAGCTCTAGTCCTTGAGCCCCATGGCTTGCTTAAGGTACTCCCACTGCATTCACCTTATATTTTGTATCAAACTAATTTCAATCAGCTCTAAGTATATTTCCTGTTATTTGTCGTGATCTCACATGGTAAGAATGTAGTTTCTGTGCATTTATCTTGGCTTTAATCTAAAAGCTATTTCAAAGAATATTTCAACACTATTTTATCTCGATAAAATTCCCGGTTTAACACCTTCTTCGTATTAAACCGTGGTTTCACAGGGTAAGAAGGCTACTGCTTTTCCCGCCATGTGCAACAAACTGTCTGACCCTACTGAAGCCGAGAGCCGAGTAGTTGTGGACAGCAATCTTGTGACAAGCAGAGGGCCGGGAACTACCATGGAGTTCGCCTTAGTGATTGCGGAGAAGTTTTTCGGACGAGAAAAAGCACTTGGGGTTGCCAAGGCCATGCTTTTCGTGCACGATTAGAGGTCATATGGTATCTTATACATGTACGTGTGTGTTTGGTCCGGTTATGGTTATACTGAATTTGACGAGGGCCATGTTTATGTAGCGTTGGCGCATTTCGAGTAACGTCTTTGTGTGGTTTTTGTTCATGCGAGATTTTCTAAATAAATCCGAAATGGTTTTTGTTATGCTCTCATGACCCTATGGGTGCATTTTTGGGAGGACAAAAGTATGGTAATATAAGAATGCATTTTTTTTCCCTATATAAAGAGGCAATAATGTTCACATACCCACGGTGGACACATGTTAATATGCCCACCGCTTAGGTGGAATGCACACACTGGTGATATTAATATGTTCAAAAAAATACACTACTAATGCGTGCATGCCACATAAGCGGTAAACATATTAAAATGTACCCACCGTGGGTAGGGGAGCATTAATATATAAAGATGATTCTCATATGATTCTATCTCTCTCATATGATTCTCATGTCAAGTTTAATTATCATTGATGTGTAATTATAATTTTTTTAATAAATTACATATTTGCTCATGAACTAAATTAAATTTTTTTAATAAATTACTCGGGACTTGCCGGTTCTATTTTGAAATCACTCGGGAGGGCTTATATAGCATCTCCGAGTGCGTTTTTGCTATAAATTTTGGACCGAACGATATGGTATTGACATGATCTTCTCAACATGAACTTAAATATATGAAGAGAGGGTAAATAAGAGTATACCCTTTTGTTTGGTCGAGGTTATCAAATTTTTAAAATAGGTCCTTATATCTAATAAAATTATTTCCCACAAACGGGTCGCCCTTGTAGGTTCTTACAACCAGCCGTCATCACTTGCTGGTTCCTCCATCAGGTGTAGGCCGATATACGACCACTCAAACCGCAATAAAAAAAAAAAATTGAAAGTTTCGAGTCCTAGCATCCGACACAGTCAATATCTGAATATTTTTCTAACAGTTCAATACGTGTCTTCTCTGTCAGCAATCGAGCCATCAATGACAAAGGCCACTGTTACACAGACAATCGTCGAGACCATGAAACTGCACAGAGATGGCGGCGCGACGTACGCACAAAGGAGTCAATCGTCGAGACCATGAAACTGCATAGAAATGGCGGCGCGGCGTACGCACAAAGGAGATAGGTGATGCGGCGGCGTCGCCGACATGAGGAGAAATATATGGCGGAGGTGTCGGTCATTCTCGTGCGGCGACAATGTTGTCATTCTCGGACGAAGGTCATCGACGGCGACGAACGACTTCATGGATGCTTTGGTGGCCTTAGGCGCATTCCGTCTGTGAACTGTGTGTGTGCCAGTGTGGTGTGCGTGCGGGCGGGGTGTAGTGTGTTTGTGTGTGTGTGTGTGTGTGTGTGTGTGTGAGAGAGAGAGAGAGAGAGAGAGAGAGAGAGAGAGAGAGAGAGATGTGGTGGTGATGTAGCGTAGGATCCAGTGGTGAGTGGGTTGGTTAGATGGATAATGATAATGTCCAAATTACTGTTAATGGGTGTAATAGTTAGACTTTTTTTCTTTTATCCGTTAGCTCATCTGATGGCTAATATACATTCTTATTCTTTGATTTAACATCTTTCTCACTTGAACTATACAATATATATGTATATAACTCAACCCTATATATAACTATCATACATAAACTTTTAAATTTTTTTAAATTAATTATTCAATTTGGCCACATTGATCTTATGACCAGACGTGGATCAGTTGAACTGATTTAAGTGTGAACATTTTATTTATTTAATTTTTTAAAACCATATGGCTCGTCCCTTCCTGGAACTTATCAAGTACCCACCATTGTACCACAAAAGAGAACTGAGACCTCCTCTGCACCTTCATTCTTCCGACTTCATAAATTCAGCTTTCCTCTGAGAATTCAAACCGACGAAGATATTTTCTGCACAGCCCATCTGCCCGACATAAAGATCCATTAAGGTAGTAAGGTTCTAATCCTCTCGTGTCAATTTCATTCAAGAATCCTTTGCCTTTTGAGATGTATCTTTGAATTTGGGACATGGGGTTAGGTTAAAAATGCAATCTTTGCTGCAATATTTTTGAGTTGGTTCGAGCAATGCTCGATCGATTAGCTTCGGACCACATGGAATGGTTTCGTGTCATCATTTTGTAGGAATTAGCCGTTTTTCTTGTTGTCTTTCTTCTAATAGCTTAGGATTAATCTGAGAAACTGAGAAAGACTCGGGTTCAATCTCTTTCGAATCTCGAAATGTTGTGTGAGGCGGTCTAACTGTTAGACGGGTCGACCCGTGTCACCCGTCATACTTTCATTAACAAAAATGTATCATTATGCTATGAAATGTCATAATTTTGTTTGTGTTGTATCTAGACTATGACATTTGAGTTTGAAAGTATGCATATTTGTTAAGAAAAAGTATGAGTAGGCACTCGACTGCTTTACTGCGTTTTATAGTGCACTCTTGTGAGTGTATAATACCCTTTGATGCTTAATCTTTGCACTTAGTGAAGAAAAGGGTCTCCCTTATTTCCATGAGTAGTCGTTTTGTGATTTAAATCTAGCAGTTTGAAAGACTTTCTTACATACCGTGAATTCAGTTCAAGGCCTGATTTTTTATAGATGATCCCTAATAACTTGCACTGGTCTTTTTGAACTTCTCTTGTCGGGTCTTTTACATGTGGCTAGAATATTTTGAAATATTTTGACATAGTTTTGGCCATGTATTATATCACAGGAGGAGAATGTGAGTAAATTTGAAGTCTTGATAATCAGACAGAGATTGGTGTCATGACTTGGTTCAGTGCTTGTTTTTGCCAGCAAGATTCTTTTGTAATTGATCAAAGAGTAAATATCAACAGAGGTAGATCTCTAACTCTTCGAAAATTTCAACTAGACTATTTGTCGATTTAATGTGCTCATTCCATTATGAAAAAAAATAAATAAATAAATAAATTGAATAACCTAGTTTGGTACATGATTTCAACTACTAAATCTGCCGTAGAAAATATCTAACTGGACTTAGAAATAATGCAGAAATTTCGAATCTTCCAAATGCTAAATTGTACAGCTACAAAGAATTACAAACAGCAACGGAAAATTTCAACCAGGCGAATAAGATTGGTGAAGGTGGATTCGGTTCTGTATACAAGGTAATTATCATCAACCTTTTTGCTTCGTCAGTTTTTTTGTTTTTTAACTTTATTATGTTCTTTTTGGTTCTGTTAGTAGTTGATTAAGTTACACTTGAACTTGTAGGGAAAGCTAAATGACGGCACTTTAGCAGCCATTAAAGTTCTCTCTTCCCAGTCAGAGCAAGGCGTGCGTGAATTTCTGAACGAGATAGTAGCAATATCTGGAGTCGAACATGAAAACCTGGTCAAGTTGTACGGTTGCTGCACGGAGAAAGGCCAAAGAATATTGGTTTATGGCTACCTCGAAAATAATAGCCTCGCTCAAACTCTTCTAAGTAAGCTCATCCAGTTCACCCTTTAAAATTAAGGTTATTATTTCTTCCCGAGTCCATTTTGTGTGTTTAGAAGGAAGCTGATTAAATTTGTGTTGTAGGACGGCACAGTGATTTGCAGTTTAGTTGGAAACTGCGTACTAAAATCTGCATAGGGGTCGCACAGGGGCTTGCTTTCCTTCACGATGAAATACAGCCACATATTGTTCATAGAGATATTAAGGCAAGCAATATTCTTCTGGATAGAGATTTCACACCGAAAATCGCTGACTTTGGTCTGGCAAAGCTTTTTCCAGCCACTATGACTCATATTAGCACGCGTGTTGCTGGAACCTTGTGAGTTGATGAAACTTTTGCTCTATTTCAGAATTTTAGTGGCGTTTAGATGGGGAAATTGAGAGATTATTGTGAGGATGAATATTTCTAATAAGTTGTACAGATTTTGTGATAGTTCGTGGTCCGATGAGAGAAAGTCGGTTAGAATTCATCCATGTAGTTAAATTGGATTAACGATAATTTCCTCAAGTTAAAATTTCAAATATTGATTTTTTTTTTTTGCCTTCTGTAAAACAATCATTCTTTCGTATTCTTCTTTTGCAGTGGTTATTTGGCTCCTGAGTACGCGATTCGAGGCAAGCTGACGAGAAAAGCAGATATATACAGTTTTGGAGTTCTTCTGCTAGAAATTATCAGTGGGAGGTGCAACATGAACAAGAAATTACCAGTCGAAGAACAAAATCTTCTCGAATGGGTATGAATGAAACTCTAGACTTTGCATTTTCTTGGATAAAAACTCGAGTGGTGAAGTGAATTGTTGTTATCTGCATATGATAAACCGACGACATGGTAGAACATTATCATTCTGGACTCGCACGTAAATCGAAGATTTGATTGTTTGGCAGACAATATGGTTGCAATTTTTAGTATATTTTGTAACATGCATCTTTTTTAGAATTTTGATAATATAATTGACTCCAATTTTAAACTTTTCCACATGTGATGTAAATAAAATAATACGAAATTGCCATCTCTAGGACCTCATCAACCTTATTTCCCAGGCCTGGATGTTGTACGAGAACAAAATGCCAACCGACTTGATTGATAAATCGCTCGAGGGGGACTTCAACACGGACGAGGCTTGCAGGTTTGTGAAGATTGGGCTTTTGTGCACCCAAGATAAGCCCAAGAACCGGCCCACGATGTCGGCCGTTGCAAAAATGTTGAAAGGTGAGAATGGCGTGGATGAAATGGAGCTGTTGAGGCCAGCCTTACTCAAAGAGTTAATGGCGCTTAAGGCCTCAAGCAACGCCCCGTCATCAAGTTCGGGAGCAAGCACTAATGATGGATCTTCGTCATGCTCTCAAAGTACAAACATGTCATGCGCGACTATGTCTTTTTCGTCAATATACGATCGGAGTAATTGAGCCCGAGAAAAAGAAGAGGAAGAAGAAGAAGAAAGTTTGCTTCTTTAGGAAATGTATATGAGGACTTTAGTGTGTATGCCAAAATGGAAATTATGGAATGTTAACACTCAACTGTGGTGAGAGTTCTTTTTTTTTTTTTTTTTTT